GAACCGGGAGAATCTCGCGCCGTCGTCGAGGTTCGAGAACGCGAACGACAACGGACGAGTTTTCGAAGCGGAGACGAAGACGCCTCCGGAGGAGCGTACCCAGCCGCAGCCGGTTCTGATTCGAGGGCCCGCGCGAGTGGTCGAAAATCGCGAGTATCTGCGACAGAGCACCGAGCCGATATTCGTTCGACAGCAACCGGAACAATTTCTGCGCGAACTGCCAGGCGGGAGAATCCTGGTCCCGTCTCAGCAGAGCATCGAGGATGATCCCGGTTACAGGCCAGTTTCGATCAACAGACTGTTGCTGCGTCCACTGCCGAATCAACAGCCCCTCTATTCCACGACCACGGACGCGAATATTCACTACCTGACGGAGAGTCCTCTGCCGGAGCAGGAGGAAGATCCGAGAGTCGCCATGGCGCAAGGATACATGCGGCCGAGACCGTTCCCGCGACCGGTGATCTTCCAGGAACCGGAACCGAGGCCCAGGCCTGTCTTGAGGCCCGTCGCACCGGCGATCACCCACGCGGTCGACGACAGAGAGTACCAAACGACTCCGGAGTATCCTTACCGAGGGAGCACCATCGCTTTGCCACCGGAACCGCCAAATCCGATCAATCCGCCTCTGAGCAGACGCGACTTTCAACTGCTTCTGAGAAGGTTGCTCGTCAGTCAGTACGGCGTTCAAGCTCTTTCTTACCCGAAAAGTTACCTGGAGGACGCGCTGTACGATCAACAGCCGTACCCCTCTTATCAGCCGGGCTATCAGCCCGGCTCACCGCGACCAGACATCGGCTACGATCAACAAATCCCGCTTCAGTACGGCGATCGTGTTCCTGTGAGGCGGCCCGTCTACGCCAGAGCTTTGAACCCCGTTTACCAACCTCAACAGTACGAAGATTACAGCGACGGTAGGTACACGAAGAGAGTCTACAGGCAAAAGTTCTACACGCAGGAGGTAGCCGACGACGGTGACGAAATATTGCCCGCTCCTATAAGAGAGGCCTTGCTGCTGAGGATGTTGCAGCTGGCGATCAACGCTGAACGGCCTCCCATGATGTCCACGCCGGTCGTGACCACCACGACGCCAGCTTCGAGGTACAGGAAGACCGGACCAGTGAGGAGCGTGCAGATAATCACCGACGAGGAGGAGGAAGAGAAAGAGGCGATGAAGAAGAAAATGTAAAACGGTCAGATTAAGGTCGGAGTTTGTTGAAACAAACAGGGGCGGTTCTTACCTTTCCTTCGCGCGAAAATCCGAGTGTTTCTGCCAAATTAATTTCCAAAATCGTCCGACGACAACGACAGAGGTGAGATCGAAGGACGTTCAAGACGGAATTTAGCTGAACGTTTCAATTGTAACACGCGAGATTATGGATTCAAATGGCTGAGAAATTAATAACTCCTAATTGGAATATTTCTAATTTATAGTTACCGCGGAAAGGCACCAAATGTCAAGAAAATATACCTTCGTAAGAAGCGCAAAGAACCTTTTTACGTCTGTAAGATTTAGACAATTTCAAAATACATGTACTATTTATTTTTCTGTTTAGTCACGACACGCTGTCATTTATTGATTTATTTATATACTTTTTGCAATACCACTTTGAACTATATATTAAGTACAGATTAACGTCTGTAGAACTTGCTACGTACTCGAGTTGTTCTCACAGTTCATATTCTCAGTATCGTTCGTATTTCCCATTGGAAATTTATATTTCACACTCGTACCATTGCAACAGATAGCACGATTCTTCGCCAGATTAACGCTAGGGCTACCAAAGTGGTGAAAATGATCAGTTTGTAATTTTTGTTACAGACGTGAAACAGTCAGAAACATATTTTTAAAGATGTAAACAATCTTCCGTAAAATATATGAATAGTAAAGTGTACAGGGTGGGCCAAAAATCACTTCCTACTGAAATAAATCCGCCATAATATTTTTAAAAAAGTTTCTGTTTACAAATTTTTAAAACGCAGCAAATAAATCATCGTTTGAACTTAAATTTAATTTAAAATTAATAAAATTAGTTTTTCCCCTATATTTTGATGTTTTATAGATGAGATTCTCCATTTCTTTTTTTTTTTTTTATCTTCAATGTTTCTGATAGAAATTTCACGCTCCAATCGTTGGTGGTTCTAGCGTTAATCTCCCTTTCGTCAAGTAAAAAAGTCGATAATTTCGATGCAACAGCGGTTGCAAACAGATTTTGATTGCAGTAGCTGCGAGGGAACCGGCTGGGAGAAAACCGCGGTTTCCTTTAACGAAGAGCTCCGCGTAGAAGAGCGTGAGAATAAAGGAAAAGCGATTCGACACAATCGTGGCGACACAGTTTTCACGGAACAGGCCGGCATCGTCAGCGAAACGGATCCGCTCTCGGGGAAGGGAAATGTCCCACGTGAATGTGTTCGTCCAACGATTTTCCGCACGACAACTTTCAACTATCTCGCAACGCTCGATTCCTCTTTTCTTTCTTCTTTCTTTTCTTGCCTTCGCGTCGAATCGTCTCGCTACTTTTTTTAGTCGCCGGTAATACAATTAAACGAACGTGTATATATATGGCCAGGCAGATACGGTGCAATCATGTTGATCTTGCATTTCACCCTGAATCTGCGTGTCACGTTGAATCGTAGAAATCGTCCAAAGACGAGCAGAAAGTGTTCCAGATTGAACTGCGTCGATGTGAATGTTTATTAGATACAAATTGCAAGACTTTGGAAGTTTATTAAACTTTGCTTTGCATCTGTTGCACCCGAATTATCGTCTACGATGCTCTTTCTGAATTTTGGTAAACAATCCTGTTGTAGCCTTCATTCGTAGAGTTTCACTTTTACTAGGTTTTTACTATCAGATTCGAAAACGATCGTAACGTCGAATCTGATAATAGTGAAATCACCCTCTGACAATATCATCCTTTAGCCTCCTATTTGTAAATAAAACGTTATACAAAACTAGTGTAATATACATACGGTGCGTATACCGAAATAAAACGAGCCGGATGGATAGATAGAATTGGTGTGAGAATTCATTTCATAAGCCGGCGTGCCAGGAAAGAATAATAACGTGCCTACCTGTTGGTAATTAGCATCGCCGGTTGCGACACTTTTCTGTCAGATACGAGAACCCGTATTCGTTGGTTAGACGGTCGCGTTGCCTGCACGATGGCCACAAGACGGGGGGCGTAGATCATGGGATTTTTGCACGTAGTTTCCACGCACTCTCTGTACACTGTTGCTTCTTGCCAAACCTCCGGATGGGGGACACGTTGCGGCTCCGAGAAAGTTTCGGCGCGTGGAGGACGTTCTCGCCTGGAAGCTGACAGAATGGTCCCTTGTCTCGCAGACGCTCTCAACATCTTAGCTGTGATGAATGACGAAATACTCGTCGTAAAGAAATGGCAATTTTTTTTTTTTTTGTATAACGACGAGTATACTTGTCGTTCGTCGTACAGCTAAGAGGCTGAGAATGTCTCCGAGAAGGGACCATTCCATCAGTTTCCAAAGAAGTAATTACAATTTGTCACTTGAATTAAAATTTTAATAAAAATAATACATATTTGAAAATTTTAGACATTTATGAGAATATTCTGAGACCAGACTTGACACCTCTAAATATTTTCTTGCTAAAATTGATTAGATAAACAATAAAATTATTGATTTTTTTAAAAAAAGACTAGTGTCTTTTCCTTATGATTGAATTTCACAGTAGCTGTACATACTCTGTGTTTGATGAGTGTAGTTGTCATCGTAGCGACACACTCTTTTAAAAGTGGTACCACAGGCTAAGGTACCATTTTTTTCTTTTTTTTTTTTTTTCTTTCAGAAAGAAAAAAGTGTACCGAAGAAAGAGGTTTGTCACTCGAACGCTCTCGACTTTCGATTTTCGCGAACGTTCGACAAATATCGGTAAAGTAAAATCGTCAGACAATTTCAATAACGGGATATTTATTAAGAACTGGAGCGGAAACATGTAGTTTAGTAGCAATAGAGGAAAGAATTCTTTTTTCCCTTTTTTTTTTTTTTTTTCACGTAATCGCGAGCAATCTTTCGATTTTTCCGCGGGCACCGGATGCACACACCGTGAAAGGTTGTCGTTAAGAGAGACAGAGCTGTTCGCCAACTGGACGCTCACGCTTCGCAAGCTGCGACTTCCGGTATCCTGTGAACAGTATCCAGTAGCGTGTGTACGATTTAACACGGATCATGTAGAAGCAAATTGTATCTCGGGAACCGTCTAATTAAACCGACCGTTCTTTTCATCGACTTTCCTCTTCGCTGGTGATGGAAAGTTATAACGGGGAGGTTTATGTTTCATTGTCTTGTGCATGTACGTACGTACGATACACAAACGTGTGCACGATCAGCGAAGGAACACGAGACGAAGAGGAAGAAAGGAGAATTCGCAGAGATCAGATACAATCTTGATAAGTTCTCTCGGGTTCAGCTAACAATCGTGTAGTAAAATATCGAGAGAGAGAGAGAGAGAGAGAGAGAGAGAGAGAGAGAGAGAGAGAGAAAGAGAGAGTGTGTATGTGCGAAGGATTTTACTTTTGACGCCTTACGCAAGCGTACTGAAACTTATTATTACGATAATATGGAAACGAATTTGCAGAAATGAAAAGTCAAATTTAACAATCTTTTCTTTAACTTTTCATTTTTTTTTTTTTTTTTGTTTTATTAGATTTATGTATTAATTCAAATTCGTCTTTCTAAAATTTTACTGAAACCGTACGTTTTTACTGAAAATTTTATTGTTAATGAATAATGTTCATAAAATCGAGCAATTCATTTTTTTTTCTTTTTACCAGAAAATTCAGCTTGCTAGTATTGTTGTTAACGAGAATAAATCGAAATCTCTGGATTTTCGATTCGCTAGGAATTTTACTGCTAATATATGTGAGGCTCGTAGGATCAAGCAGGATCGACAATTTAGATGTAAGAATGAAAATACAAGGACGAATAGCAATGACTACGAAGTTAAACAGTAGAATAATTTACAATTAAAATTCGCAAATTGTTTATTAATCGATAACTTTGGGTAATTTAAAAAGTTTACGTTCTACGTATATACAGACCTTAAAATTACCATATACATATATATTTATTTCTTAACATTATGTACAAATTTCAACGCAACAAGAATCCTAAAAAAAAAAAAACCAGCGAAGAACAAATGCTAAAGAATACTGAATAAATATCAAATCCTCGGTGAATGAAGCATCCGTCGTTGGAGAATCGAAAAACAAGGTAAAATTAATTCGTTTAACGAGTTAACTGGACGACTGCGAAACTTTCGAGTCGACCGAGGCAGAGCTAGGCACGTTTTTCGCGCTTTCGGCGTCCTCCTCGAACGGATTGAAAGGCTCGGTTTGCACGCCGACGTCCTCGTAATCGAGTTCCAGGGCGTCTTGCTCGTAAATTGCGTCGTGACTTCGCGGTCGAGCCACGGAAGGAATCCACGGCTGCGGCACGCCTTTTCCAAGCGCCAAGAAAACCGCGGCGGTCGTTAGCAAAACGACGGAAGCAACGCCGAACACCAGCCGCCACGAGCCAGCGATCTGAAACGGCAGATATTTTCCAATTAATTGCGGCGAATTTGCAATATGTATACCGTTAAACTGAAAGAAAGTGATGTGCAACAGCGCTGTAATTAACGTCTATTCCGCAAGTGACACTCGGCAAGTCATACAAAAAGAAGACGAGGAAGTTCAGAATTCAAAGTTCGCAAAGAACTTGTGCGGTTTTCACGAGCATGAAATGCTTCGCGTTAGCGATGTACCTCTTACTGTTTGCTCACGAAAGGATACTGAAAAATAAAATATACGGCGAAGAGCACAATCGTATCAACTAGAATCATTTAAACTGATATATCTTTGAAAACTGAAAAAAGAAAAAGAAATAACATATTAAAGAGCGAAGCTTCTATTTTGATAGTCGTGAGTATGTTTCTTTTCAAGATGATTTTACGTCACGAGGGCACATTTTTCTTGAGAATTCAAACGAAGTTATATCAGTTATTTAAATTGTCGACAATTTTTCATTATTATTGGTACGGTTGTGCTCTTCATTGTACAGAGCAGAGCTTTCCTCCTGTGATTATATTTTATTTTCACACTATTTTTTACTTAGTAAGCAGAGAGTAGAAAGTAAGAAAAAAAAAAAAAAAAAAAAGAAAAGAGAAGAAATGGAACTCACAGAACCGTGAAGAGCCTGAGTGACAAAGTAATTAGCAGCCAAGAGGCCCGCTGCGCCTAGAGTCGAGCATAGTGCGCAGGCAGCGGCCGCACAGGCCGGAGATTCGACAGGTGCAAGGTCTGCTATAGCCGCTAGAGCACCGGCTGGTGCGGTTCCTGACACGAGTAGAGCAGCAATGCCCAGCCAAGCTGCTCCTAACGCCTGGCAACCGGCGTAACCAGCGACGAAAAGTAGCGCAGCGGGGATGAAGTGAGCTGCGATCGAACCGCAAAAGCCAAAGAATTACTCTATCGATGGATTTTCCCTCTCGATGAATCGAGGAACGTAATTCGATAGAATTAAAAGAGCTTTCTTTCTCTAATGGAATTACATACCAGTGTACACGACCAACTTTCTAGCCGTGGTCGTCGAAACTATTTTTGACTCGCGAACGTGATCCACGAGGAGACCACACGTTAACGCGGCCATGAAATGGCCAATGTGCGGTAACGTCGTTAAAACAGAATCCTGGAACAGAAGGTGAAAGTCGATTAAAAGTTTCCAAAAGTTCAATTCCCACTGCTTGAACAATTTGCCCGGAAATTGATGACGATTTCATTCGTGTTTCCTTCTTGCGAAATCGAATACTCACATTAGCCGTTGAAAATCCGTAAATGAGTTTTAGATATTTTGTCATACCAAGAGCAAGCGTCGCATCGCCCCATTGGTTTCCCATGGTTGCTACAGCAGACGCCCAAACAGGAACCGATCGCAGTAACTTTCCCCATGGAATCACGGCAGCCTGTTTCATTTATTACATTTCTCAGCTCATTACTCGACTTAATCACGATCCAATGTACGTTCAAAAATGTCAGAGTGAAGCTGAAGAATAAAGCTAAAGAATATAGCTGTTTAGCAAGTTCTCGTAAAACTAACGACGTGATTTGTTCAACATTTAGCACGGAAATAATTAACTATACATGACGTCTCATTAATCTTTTAAAAACAATAGTATTGCGACACATTGTAAGAATGTCGCATAATTCATAGAACATTAGCCTTTCCCTGTTACGACTCGTGTCGTAATAATGACCTGAATTAAGGATTGCCAAAATTACCGGATGCGCATCTTTTGAAAAATAAGAGAAGAAACGATCTTACATTTGTGTCGTGCTGGTAGGATTTTGGCGTGTCTTTGACAAATCGGCCGAAAGCGAAGTACCAACAGAGTGCGATGCAAACGAGACCGTAGCAGAGCGAATCCCGACCGAAACTTCGAACGACAGCCGTGCCTAGCCATCCCGTGAGGCAGTACCCAACGCTGACAGCTTTCAAACATCACAAAATTGCCATCGTTTAGTATAAATGTTACGATGCTCTGATCTACTTAAATCGTGCGATAGTAACACTATCAAAATTTACCAGCGTAACAACTGAAGTACCAACTTCTGTGAGTGCTCTTAAACCAGGTCATGGCGAGCATGTGAGCAGCGGGCATAGTCGCGCCCTGTAATGAAACGACGTAATCATTTCCGTACGTGTGAAATAATAATGTTAATAATAATAATAATAACAATCTCGGTGAATACTTACCGTGCATAATCCCTGAAAGAGGCGAAGCGCTACGTGAGACGGACCTCTCCATGCAGCTGGTACCAACAAAGATGCCAAACAAGCACTGAGAACCGCTCGCGAAAACACCACGGATGGACCCGATCTTCCCCATACTAGACATCCTCCTAAAATCGGCCCGGCCACTTGGCCCCATAGAAACGCCTCTCTCATTATGGATTCTGCACGCTCTTCCGGTGGCAACTAAAAACATTACGACTCGTTGTTATTAAACGATACGAAGAGTGAATGTTGACTGATGAAAACGATGGAACGGATGAGTTTTACCTCCATCAGTATAACTTCAAAGTCTTCGGTACGATTACGACTACTGACGTTGACCAGCATTTCGCAGTGCCACGACGTGTCGATGATGGCATGATTGTCCTTTTGATTGGCAAGCAATGCGACCGAAGAGCTCACTTCCACTGCACCGCAAAGTGCAAATCCCACTGCGACGAGCGCAGCAACGACGTGTCGCGCTCGTACAGCCGCTAATTAATAACAGAATTATTAAGTAACAATATTCGTAGACAGATGTTAAAAATTTGACTTGCAACGACGTGTCGCGCTCGTACAGCCGCTAATTAATAACAGAATTATTAAGTAACAATAATCGGAGACAGATGTTAAAGACGTAAAAATTTGACTTGCAAAAAGATCAGAGACATTTATTTCTGCTACATCGAGTACAGATCGTGTTTAATTTGTAGCTTTAAATTCATTTGGCCTCTTTGTTATCAGGCGATAGCGAGCAAGCAATTGTTATGTGCATTGTAAGCATACGTACATACATTATCGGCGATACTACACGTCGCCTGTAATAAAATACTGTTTGACATTGATAAGTTGATTAAACAGTCGTTTTTGCAATCTCTACCTTCAATTCTCAAGAGTTAGGGAAATATCTTTTTAATTATTTATGTATATCACGACATATGGATATGAATTTACTAATACTGATCAAGTTTGTTCTATTCCCGATGCATAAAAAGATGAGACATAATATTGTAAATATTAATATATACATAGTGTGTTTGTCTAATAATCGACATTTTAAATCTATTGTGTCGTGTCGTGTGTGTAAACGAACCTCGAACTTCTTTCGCGGCTTGTTTTATTTGAACACTGCTCTGTTTCACCAACTGCACGCTACCTCTTTTGACGAAGTCTTCCATTTCACAAAACTCGAGAAGATGTAAATCAACGAGCGCATATATACTCTTATCATTCTTGTCTATTGTTATAGTTGGATTCTACCGCCTATTATCTTTTCCCTATCCCCTCGGTGCAGTGTAACCTCGACTTTGATTTTCTTCGAACGTAGCATAATTAAAATAACAATTTGGCGATAAGGAAATTTTTATTCATCTTCTATCTATATATACTCGTTACACGACGAGTACATGTTTGTTTTCATGTAACGATGACAGGTAGCATAGACCATTCCGATTGATAATCTATCGTGGTATTTATTCCATCGTCTGTGATACGCTTTTAATCGGACAAATGATAAGCGACAAAAGATCAATCCGTAGATTGAAGGATACAGTGTTTACATTGATTTCATTATTTGCTTACAGTTTGATTAAATGTTTGTATTTACTATCAACCTTTTTATTTTTTACTTTAACGTCTGAAGTGGATTTTCAATTTATTTTTCGCACAAATAAAAAAATAACTTTCACAGCGAATGAGAAAAGGATATTTTCAAGCAATGAAACATTTTTGGTATTTCTGTGATAAAAACCTAAGTAAAATTTCAGATCATATTTACCCGATAACGAATACATCCGTCGTTTAATTAGACGATAATTTGTTAAAATAGCTTGATATTTATCAAAGCTTGGAATCATCGTTCGAGTATCCGCGTGAAAGAAGAATTTTCCCATACCTTTCATTTCCAGCGCCGCATGTCTCAACTGAACGCTTCCACGTTTAAGACGAACGAGCGCTGCCATATTTATCACTCGTATCGACCAACAATTCGAGTTTTCATTACGCTACACAAACTTAAATGGTACGAACTTAAACACATTTTATGGTGGAGCACTGGCACCTCTCAGCACGGTGATACGGGGTCAATCGGATCGTCACGAGTTGCACGAACTACACTGGTCATCTAGGAGTACGAGTGAATGAACATCTCTGTTAACGAGACTTGATATAATAAGTACCTATGCCAGGGCAGCCTTGAAGCACCGTTTCAGGCCTGCCTCGTGATATTTTCTCAACTGTACTGCCAAACCGTATCACGCCTGGATTTCATACGTGATAACAGGTTGATTCCAAACACCGAGCTTTCGTTCGCCTTGTCAGTATCCAGTCAAATATTACATAACGCTGAAATTTTTGATTGTTTTGTTTATGATAACGTATCTAAAAATGACTCTGAATTGTTGCAATTTAACGATTCATGAAATTGAGAAAAGTAGCTCTATATTTGTGAAAACTGAATAATTTCAGTATATGTACAATTTTTCATTTTGCATATAGCAATTTTATCATAATTTTCATTCCTAGAAGGAGAGATTTCGTAACCTATCGTGTTTAATGTTGTTAAATAAGATACCTCATTCATGTAAACAATTATTCGCGATAAGAAGTTCGATAGAACTATATGATTCTTTCAAAAATAATCTAAAGATTATCAAGCCGCTGATTGTTATAATATAAAAATTATTTTTGCTAATATCAGCAAAGTTCATATACATCGATCACATTCGTAAATTGCTGGATGATTTAAGTTTTCAAACATTAATTAATATTTCTAGTGTTATATTCGTAATAATTAAATCATTAATAGGTTTGTATAATACTTTCGTATGTCGTTTAAAATTATACAATGCAAGTGTGCACGATACAAGTGTTTGTACGACCGCGTTTTTACGCGCGCTTCTGATCGTGATTGTTCGGGCATTTTCGGACGATTCCGACGACAGCGCCAACGTTCATAACCAGTCGTTTTCGGGAGAATTCAACGAATCGTCGCGTCGGTTCAATGTCAGTTAAATTCGCGTTCTTGTGTCGTTTTACTGTGACAAAATCATTGAAAATGTGACGAGACGAACGTGTCTTATTAGGATACATCGATTTTCCTGCCCTCTCTCTTATCATATTGTCCTTTAAGTCTTCAATTCAAGTTTGGTAACATTTTAGGTATTGGGTTAAAATACGTTGAAATTAGAAAGGATTAAAAGCACAGTTCTACTTAAAATTACAGTCTCAATTAACTGTTTGTTATTTATTTAATCTCTATACAATTCCATATTTCATACTGCAATGATTATTTATAATTTCATAATTACATTTCAATTTCAATCACCATTAACATTGCAGCACAACGACCCCGTCTGTGCTCACTCTATACTAGGTCGATAATGTCGCATGCGATATCAAAATAATGACAATAGTTTTCACATTCCAACTTTACAACTTTTATTAGTCTTGACATAGCATCCAATATACTTTTCATCTCTTAAAAATACATTTCGTTTCTGCCAAATTGAAATTTACTTTTTCAACGCTTGAAGGGTAAACACCGTCGCGACTTCCTTACCGACCACCAGTCAAACGACAGCGGAACAAATGCCGAGTGCCAGGCAAAGGACCCCCTTCAGGCCCCCACTGGATCTTTTGCCAGGGCCCAAAAGGTTGCGCGTCAGGTGGTCTTTTTCCCTCTTGTTTCCTCTCTCCCACCATTCACCGAGAAACATCGTAGCGTACCACCTGCAAGGCGATTGGTCAGTTCAGAGACAGGTCAAACGGCAGCGTATCGGTTAGTGTCTCTGTCACGTTCGTCTCCTAGTTTCGGAGCGTAGCGGTGATCGTCGAATCGCGTCCCGAATTTATCTGAGCCGAGGAGGCCTTGCGACGAGCCACGTGAACGAACGTGAACGTGAAACGCGCGCGGTTACGCGTCTTTGAACGGCGTGTGCGATCGACGGGGACTGGCGACCGAGGGGAACGGCGAAATTCCTGCGTGCTTTTAGCCGCGAGCTTTTCAAACGGTGAGGATTATGCGCCGCGGTGACGCGAGTGTACCGGAGTGTTTTGACACGAGCGTGGTGCGATGATCTCGGCGAAAGGATCGCGCATCGATGAATGAAGAGGACACTGTAACGTACGGGGAATAACGACGCGGGAACGACGAACATCGAGGTGAGTGTTGGCCCACTGTTTTTCTACCAGTTCGTGCCATCGAGTTTGAGGTTAGGTCGCGCGGGGCTCTGTCGAGTCTCTCCCTCGAGCAGACATTCCCCTATGGTGGTCCGGAGTGCGCCGCGCGTTTGCTCGCGAACAATACCGTCGTCCGAAGGGTTCAGGCATCCGGGTCCTCTCGAGCCCAGGCCTAAAAAAAAGCCTCCTTTTCACTCCTAAACGATGCGTGCCGGCGCATACGTCTCTCCTTCTCCTCGAGCTCCCCCCTTTCTAAGTAGTATGCGAGCCTCCTCGGGGTCCTGCTGCGATTCGACTATACATATAGTCCTCGTCCTCTGCAACAGGTAGCGATGGACCAGCCTCACACGCTGGTTTCCTTCGTCTCTGTTATCGTAGTGGCATCACATCACGTTTCTTCGTTCTGATAACTACGCGTGAAATTTTTCCGGAGTAATGAAATTTTTCTCTCCAACGCTTCATCTCCTATCGAACGTTTCTTTCTTTTTTCTTTTTTTTTTTTTTTTTTTTTTTTTTTTTTTTTTTTTTTCTTTTTTTTTTTT